TGGTTAAACCACAGCTTGGGTCTCCCACCTCCCAAATTGGAGTGGTAATTCAAACCCTGACTATTCCACTTCTAATTCAGCCTCCTGCTCGTGTATCTTAGGAGGCAGCACATGGATGGCTCAAGTGCTTGGGCACCTGTCACTCACTTAGGAGACCCAGATGGAGTTCTGGGCCTCTGGTGTTATGCTGGCTCAGCTTTGGATGTTATGGCCATTTGGGGAATAAGCCAGTAGGTAGAGGTATCTCTATTCTTGCTGTCGCCCTCACTCTGCCTTTCAAATGGATAAAAATAAATTCAGTGTTGTATATTTTCAAGTGTTTTGACTAGCATGTGATTTTAAAAATACTGATTTGCTGATTTACCGTTAGCCATTCATTAAATAACCACAGTGATTAATTACAAAAAAGAACATCATATTTACATTACTTGAAATCCAAGACATAACAAAAAAGTGTGTGATAAAAAAGCTCCTTCTCATATTATCACCAGTCCTTTATTTCTTTGTTTTGATGAAAACCACTGTCATGGTGCAAATTATCACCTACAGGAGGATACTTTCAAAAGCGTGGGGTTGATGCGGTGGCTTAACAAGCTAATTCTACACTTTGCAGTGCTGGTGTCAGTTCTAGTTCTGGCTGCTCTACTTCTCATCCCGCTCCCTGCTAATGCTCCTGAGAAAGCGATGGAGAATGGCTCAAGTCCCTGGACCCCTGCCCCCACGTGGGAGACCTGGAGGAAGCTCCTGGCTTTGGATCAGCTTAGTTCCCGCTATTACAGTTATTTAGGGAGTGAACCAGTGGAGGTTCATGCTCTCTGTAAATCTGCTTGTCAAAGAAATTAAATGAAATAAATCTTTTTTTTTAAAGCTTATTGAAAATTAAATATAAGTTTCTTTGGGAGACCTAACCTACTGCCCCTGTAGCAAAAATTTTTAAATCCATGCACATAAAGAGGTCTTCAGTTCTATATTTCATAAACTTTTGATGTGCCTTCATGTGTCCATACATATCTTCCCCTGTATGTAAAGTAGTTGCTAATTGTACCACTGTTGTACAATGTCTTATTTTTTGATATGTCTTAAGTTTTTCTGAATCAGTTAATTCATAAAAAGTTTCTTTCGTACTTTTTGTGGCTGCCTTATTTTCCCTTGTAAGGTTGGACTATAATTGAGTGTAAAAATGTTTTTAATGTTTATTTACTCATTTTTATCCATTTGAAAGAGCAACAGAAATAGGGACCTACTATCTGTTGGTCTACTCTTTAGATGTGGGACTGGTCCTGGTTGTAGCCAGGAGCCAAGGATTCCATCTGGATGTCCCACATTGGTACAGGGGTCTAAGCACTGGTTCTGTCATCTGCCTTCCCAGGTGCATAAGCAGGAAGTTGGATCGGCAATGGAAGCGGCAGGTTCAGAGCAGCACTCTGATAAGGAATGCAGAAGTTTCTAGAGGCAGCTTAACCGACTGCACCACAGCACTTGCCCCTGGATCCAAAATGTATTTTATCAGTCTCTTTGGTGAACATTTGGCTTGTTTCCAATCTTCTACAAACACGTTATGCTGCACTCAGCAACCTGGCCCACGTGTCATTTTCACGTAAATGAAAGTGGATCTGAAAGACATTCCCAGAAGTGAAAGTGCTGAGTCACAGGACATGATCATCTGTGCATTTAGACTTGCCAAGCTGCCCTTCATAAAGGTGGTTCCAGTGTATGCTACACCAGCCATGTAGTGCATCCTTCCGAAGGAGACTGTTGTGTAATGAATAAACCCAACAGTGTCAAACAGAGTAGTATCATCCATAGCAGCTCAGCCATTACATTTCACCTTTGTCAATAAGTTAGATTTAAACAGTAGTCTCATCCTGGTTGTTTCAGTTTATCTCTGGCCAGGAATGAGGGTGAGCATTGTTTTTTGTTTGTTTGTTTTTACAAGTCTGAGAACTGTTGGATTTTCTGACCTTCACACAGTCTGTTTATTTCCTTTGCCTGCATTTTTGTCTATATTTTCTAACCCAGCCTGTGGTTCTCCTGTTAACTGATGTTGGAGAAGCGCCTTGTGTGTCAGAATTGATAACACAGTGAACACTTTTTTCAAGCTTATCACTTTTCCTCGGTTTCCTTACTGGCTTACCAGGCAGATTTATTCAATTTCTCCCTTGTGACTTTTAGACTCTATATAGCAACTTGAGAAGGTTCCCCCCTACAGCCTCCCACCCCACACCAACATTGAAATCAATAGCTTCTTTTGTTGTTGTTCGCTTTTTAATTCTTCTACCAATTGTAGTAATTTTCCTTCTTTCTTTCTTTTTTAACCTTTAATGCTTTGAGTCATCCAGAATGTATTGTGGCATAAAGTATGGGTTCCTGAACCACCCTTTCTGTTTCCTCACAATAGTTATTAATTCTAGCCTTGCTTTTAATTTGTCACTCCCATTTGGTGTACCTTATTGCAGTCTCCTGTACCCATGCTTTGCCTCTACCGTGAGTCAGACTGCCTGCCTGAGACTGCTGGAGTGGCGTCATCTTCTCATGAGGTAGCTTGGCACAGGGGAGAACTCTCGTCTTCGGGGTCTAGCTGACCTGGCTTTGAGTGCCACTCTTGCAGCCTCTTGAACCTGCAGCTGCTTCACCCACGCAGCCTTTTGACAAATACCTAATCTTCATGGATCTTTGCAACCCAGTGTGATGGAAAATGTCCCTTTGGGTAAATTGGTTGTGACAATCAGAGTTAATGTTAACTGCCTGCTGGATGCCTGGCACATAGTGAATACTTGATAAGCAGGAGCTATTATTATTATTATCCCCTCCATGACCAGCATCAGCAGGGTGTTGTTGGGCTCTCTGAGGACATTGTGTTCCTCTACAGGAAGCCATTATTTCTGGTGGTCCTCAAAACTGAGTGTGGCACTTTCTTGCCTGACCCAGTGCAATTGAAGGTGTCCTCGGTCAGGATCAAGCTGACAGTGTAAAGGGGCATGTTCAGAGCTTCTGGGCAGATATTCATTTGTTAGGTATCCATTGGCATGACATTACCCTTGGTTGGAAGTCTACTTGATTCTGAAGAGTGTTTTTGTTTTGTTTTGTTGTTGTTAAAGACTTATTTACTTGAAAGGCAGAATTACAGAGAAAGGAAAAGAGCAGGAGAGAGACCTTCTGTGTGATGTGTTTGGGGTGGCTACAATGGCAAGCCGTGGGTCAGGGCAAATGCCAAATCCTGGAAGTCCATCCCAGTCTCCCACATGAATGGCAAAGGACAATGTACTTGTGCTGTCTTCCACTGCTTTTCCAGATGCATCAGCAGGGAGCTGGGTCAGAAGGGAGCTGCCAGGACTTGAACCTGTGTGTTCCTATGGGGTGCCAGCATCCCATGCTGCACCTTAACCCACTGTGCCACAGCGGGGGCCCCTTGTATGTTGTTTGGTTTGTTAATCTGGTCTATGAAGTTAACAGCATTAATTTGTTAGTGCCGTTTGACCATTGACTAATGCAAAGAACATTGCAAGATCTCTTTTTTCCAGAGCTTATGTTAAACTGTTACAGTCTGGAAATTGCTTAATTGAGTGCAGCAACTTAGCTGCCTAAGGGGTTTTTAGAACAACACTGTAGGACTTCATTTTTGCCTAGGTATGACTCACTGTTGTCTCCTTTCACATCTTTGTATATGGCTTAACGCTCTAGATTTCTTTTTTCTACATAAGCTTGGTTTGTTACTGAGATTTTAAGAAATCTCTTTTTCCTCAGTAAAACTTAATATTTGTGTTTTAGGGGTCCAGTGTTGTGATGTATCAACTTAAACTGCCATCTGTAATGCCAATATTCCATATGGCCACTGGTTCAGATATTGGCAATATCCAGTCCAGTTCCCTGCTACTCTGCCTGGTAAAGCATCAGAGGAAGGAAGCTTAAGTGTCTGGACCTCTGCACCCATGTGTGAGACCCAGACAGAGTTCTGGGCTCCCTGCTTCAGCCTGACGCAGCTCTGGCTGTCACAACCATGTGAAGAGTAAACCAGCAAATGAAAAGACCTCTGTTTTTCCTTCTCTCTTTGAAACTCTGCTTTTCAAATAATAAAATAAAATAAATCTTTTAAAAAATGTGTGTTTTAGAAGCTCTTTTGCTGCAGTCTTTCCGAGAAAAACAGCCTGTTCTATTAATTTTAAATCTATCACTAAATTATTTGTACCTAAATTATTCATTTCCATAATGTTTTTCTGCCTGAACTTCCATCTCTTAGGCTTCTCAATAATTATCAATAATTCAAAAAGTCCTCCCTGTCTTATATTTGTTTTGCTTTCTTTTGTTTCTGTAGAGTTCCAGTTGTGTTGCTACACTCTTCTGCTTTTTTTTTTTAACATTTATTTATTTTTATTGCAAAGTCAGATATATAGAGAGGAGGAGAAACAGAGAAAAAGATTTTCTGTCCGCTGATTCACTCCCCAAGTGACCTCAACAGCCAGAGCTGAGCCATTCCAAAGCCAGGAGCCAGGAGTCTTCTCTGGGTCTCCCTCGTGGGTGCAGGGTCCCAAGGCTTTGGACCGTCCTCAACTGCTTTCCCAGGCCACAAGCAGGGGGCCGGATGGGAAGTGAGGCCGCCAGGATTAAAACCAGCGCCTATATGGGATCCTGGCACGTTCAAGGCAAGGACTTTAGCTGCTAGGCTATTGCTCCAGGCACTACATTCTTAGTTATTTTCAAAACCAAACATCGCTCTAAAGTAATCCTAAACTTTGGATTATTTAAAGAACAGCAGTTCCGAAGTTCCTGTCAGAAGAGAAGAATACATGTTTGTGTGCAAGGTTTGCAACTGTGATTCCTCCTAAGCACAGGACTTTCTTGGGAGACTTTAGGAAATGTTGGTATGTAGAAAGGCATGAATATAATGACTTTATTCTGCAAAATTAATGTTCCAGTCTCGGTGTGGCTCCTCTGCTCCTTGGGGTTTACTATGTGTATCTAAAAGCAAAAACTCAGTGTTGTTTCTCTTTTCCTCTTTTCAGGGATGATTCTGTTCCAGAGGACAACATCTGGAGGGGCATCCTCTCTGTTGTTTTCTTCTTTCTTATCATCAGCGTGTTAGCTTTCCCCAATGGTAAGTGATGTGATGACGTGTTCTCGGATTTTTTCCAGTACATTGTGCCCTTTCTTGGTTTTGAGATACAAATCATCTGGAAGAACATTCTGGAAGGCAGAATAACCAGGGGGGCAGGTGTTTAGCCTAGCGATTAAAATTGTCAAATCCAGGGCCAGTATTGTGGAGCAAAGGGTTAGGCCTTGGGATGCCTACTTCCCATGCTTCCCATGTTGGAGTGCTAGTTAGAGTGTCAACTCCTCTACTTCCTCTCTGATTTCCTGGCAATATACCTGAAAACAACAGAGGATACTTGTTGTTGCTCAGGTACTTGAGTCCCAACACCCGTATGTGAAATCCAGATATAATATTGGACTTCCTGACTTTGGCCTGGTTCAACCTTGGCTGCTTTGGCATTTGGGAAGTGAACCAGCAGATAAGAGATCTTTCTTCACTGTTTCTCCCTTCCTCTCTATCAGTCTTTCAAATAAAAAAATCTTAAGAAACAAAAAAAGAGGTCTAATTTTTACAGTAGAATACCTAGGTTTGAGTCTCTCGACATGTGAACACTGAGAAGGTAGTGGAAATGGCCCCTGCCACCCACATGGGAAAGCTGGCTGAAGTTCCTGGCTCCTAGTTTTGTTATATCCAAGCACGAACTATTGCAGCCTTTTGGGGAACAAATCCTGGATGGGAATATTTGCTCTCTCCCCGCCCACCTCTCTCTGTCTCTGTCTCTCTGTCATCTTCTCCCTCTTTCTCTTTCTACCTCTCAAACAAATGCATAATTTTTTTTTAAGTGTTGAATGTTGTTCAGTGGTCAATGACACAAAGATGGCCTGCCCATTCTGTTACTTTCTAGCTCTGTGGACCTGGGGAAGCACCTCCCTTGTCGTGCCCCATTCCCCGCACCAGCTCCCTAAGAGCACTTCCCTTCTATCTTGTGGAGAGAGCAGACAGGTTCTGTTGTAAGGGTTAATGACATTGTTCCGTATTAAATGCTGTGTATTAGTCTGTTTCCAGGGCTATAAGGGGATGTCCAAGGGTAAGTACTTTTTTAGAAAACAGTTCTATGCCACTCATCGTTTGGGAGGCTAAATGTCCAAGCACTGTGATGCTGGCTCTCCTAGGTCCCTCTGGGCTACACCCAGTCAGGGCATATGGCACTGTGGCAGGAGACGTGTCAGAGAGAAAGAGAGAGTGAGTGAGTGAACACACCGTCCCATTGAGACATAGGAAGGTGGAGAGACTAAGGAGTGGCTGGTCTTTTACTTTACATTACTTCCTTCTGTGAGAGGGGCAGCAGGCCCTCCTGGGACCTTCCTCTAGGTCCCACTTCTTAAATGTTCTGTCATCACACCATCACCATTCCGGGGGCCATACTAGCAGCACAAGGAAACCATTTCACTCATGAACAGTGACTGATGAAGTGGGAGCTCTCAGCCAGCGTCAGCCATTGTCCTTCCTGTGGCTGTTATCGTTACATCAGCTGAATCACAAAATACCCAATTATTTCTGAGTTACTACTCCCTTTGGCTAAGGGCATAGTTGATGCTATAATGAGTATTACTTAAATTATTTGTCTTCCCCTGTGGCCTTTTAGTATGGCTAACTTTGCTGATGATGCATTGGGGAATATTTTTACCATTAGGGAAAAAAAATCAGCAGTTATTACTGTGAATTGACACCTCCCCCACCTGTGGTGATTGTCCAGGGAGTGAGGCAAAGGTTTAATTTACAAATTTGAAATTCTGCCATGCTCAGGATTCCTTCTTCTCCTTTGGATTATCCCTTATCTAAGGTGCTTTTTTTTTTTTTTTTTCTTTTTTTCAGTTCTTTTTCCCAAGAATATATTCTTTCTTCTCCATGAATAACTATGGCTTACTTTTTTTTTTTTAATTTATTTTTAATGGAAAGGGTGATTTACAGAGAGAAGGAGAGAAAAAGAGAAAGAGCTTTCATTTGTGGATTCACTCCCCCAAATGGCCATAACAGCCAGAGCTGAGCCAGTCTGAACACTGGTCTCCCATGCAGGTGCAGGGTCCCAACCCAGATCACAAATAGGGAGCTGGATTGGAAGTGAAGCATTTGGGACATGAACCATCACTCATATGGGATCCCTACCCATGCAATGCAAGGATTTAGCCACTGGGCTATCACACTTAAAGACTTTCTCTTGTATTCATTTGTCACAAATACTATTTTGAAAAGGTTCAGTCTTTTCTTACAGGTTATGCCCCATGGACCCCACTCAGAAACATCACAAGATGTGTGCCTTCTGTGTTCTCCCTTGCTGTAGTAGAGTCAGATATGTTATGTGGGAAGCTCAGTGTGGATGCCATTGGTTGCTACCCAGACACATTGCGTGGGAAACCCTCCAGTCTTTCCAAGCTGGTGGCAGTGGAATTTCATTTTTTTTATGTCTGTGTGTGATTCTCTTTTTTGTTGTATTCTTTGTTGTTATTTTCCATGAAACAGTTTGGTAGATATAACGATTTCGCAGTTCAGGATTCTCCCCGTATTGTTACAAAAGTAGAGTCCTTCAGCAATTGTCACAGATCCACTATTCTGCTATTTAAGTGTATCATGGCATTGTAGGTATAGGCAATGATAGAAAATCTAGTATCATATTGTCAAGATATATTTAATAGTTTCGTTGGGTGGGAGTCCTACTTTTATTTAGGAGTGGAGATGTGTACTGCAATATATCTTCACTTCCTGGTATGCTAGTCTCCATTATACACTTCATCTATGTGAATATATGTGTATACAAGTTTACTGTTTATTTGTTTTATATTTTGCATGTGTGAATGGAATGTTGCCTTACATCAGAGAACGTATGATTTTGTCCTTTTGGAATTGGCTTATTTCAGTGAGGATAATGATTCCTTTGGGACCATTTTGCTGCAAATAGTAGAATTTCGTGCTTTTTAATGGTGGAGTGGTATTCCATGGAGTACATGCACCATGGTTTCTTTATCCGTTCTTCTTTGGACGGGCATCTGAGTTGTTTCCATGTCTTCAATACTGTAGATTGTGCTGCTGTAAATAGGGTTGCAGGTCACTTTCTCATATGCAGACTTCATTCCCTTTGGCTATATTCCCAGTGGGATAGCTGGGTCATATGGTAGATCAATTTTTGTTTGTTTTAGTGTTCTCCATACTGACTTCCATAGTGGCTGTACTAGCTACACTCCCACCAACATTGGGGTAGGGTAACTTTACCCCCACATTCATGCCAGTAGGTATTGTTAATAGAGTTCTGAATATAAGTCAGTCTCACTGGAGTTAGTTGGAATCTCAATGTGGTTTTCATTTTTATTTCCCTAATAGCTAGGAAGCCTGTGTATTTTTTCTGACGTCCAGTAACCATTTGAATTTGTTCTTTTGTAAAATACTTGCTTATTTCCTTTGCCCATTTCTTAGCAGGTGTATTTGTTTTGCTGCTGTTGAGTTTCTGAAGCTCTTTGTAAATCCTGGATTAGTCCCCTATCTGTAGGGTTGTGAGTGAAGATTTTCTCCCATTCTCATAGTTGCCTCTTCACTTAATTAATTGCCATGCTTCTAAGAACATAATGGTTTGTGCTGATAGCGTACAAAGCCAAGTGAAACCATGTCCTTCTGAATGTCTTACAGAATGGATTATTTTGGAGAGTTACATTACTTTGGAGATGAGTTTGACTCCCTCACCACTCAAGATTTTAAATTAAGCACTGACAGCTTTTCAACATATGCAAACCTTTCAATCTTAGGAAGATATGACGGTTGTTTTTTTTCCGTGAGAACTGATGGTTCTGATAGTGCTCAGTGATTGAGGTGTTCAGACAAGAAGAACCATAGGTATAAAGCCATGGCATGAATGGGCATTAACCCTGTTACATAAGTCCCCAATATCAGGCAGCTTTTTGGGGAGTTGATATTTGGGCTGGCAGCTTGAACCTCTTGGTTAGGACACTGTTCTATATTGAAGTATCTGCATTTGATGCCTAGCTCTAGCTTTTTCATTTTTAGAAAGATTTACTTATTTTATGAAAGACAGAGAGAAATATCTTGCATTGATCACTCCCCGCATGGTCACACTAGTCACAGCCGGACTAGTTTTATACCAGGAGCTGGGAACTTCTTCCAGGTCTCCCACGTGAATACAGAGGCTCAAGGACTTGGACCATCCTCTGATGCTTTCCCAGGTGCAAAAGTAAGGAGCTAGATCTGAAGTAGTACAGGAAAAATTTGAACCTGTGCCTATTTTGGAGATCAGCACCACAGGTTTAATGTACTGCAGCACAGCACCGGCCCCTGGCTCTGGCTCTCGAGTCTAGCTTCCTACTAACATACACCCTGGCAGAGGCAGTGGTAATGACTCAAGTACTTGAATTTCTGTCACCCACTTGGGAAATCTAGGTTAAGTTCCAGCCTTTAGCTTTAGCCAACTGGCTAGTGGGACATTTTGGGAGTGAATCAGCAAATGGAATACGCACACAGTCTTTCTCTCATTCAGATAAATTAAACAAAATTTTTTTTTTTTTTAAAAAAGATTTATTTTTATTATTTTTTCATTGGAAAGGCGGATATACAGAGAGGAGAGACAGAGAGGAAGATCTTCCGTCCGATGATTCACTCCCCAAGTGAGCGCAACGGGCCGATACTATGCCGATCCGAAGCCAGGAGCCTCTTCTGGGTCTCCCATGTGGGTGCAGGGTCCCAAAGCTTTGGGCCGTCCTCGACTGCTTTCCCAGGCCACAGGCAGGGAGCTGGAAGGGAAGCGGGGCTGCCAGGATTAGAACCGGCGCCCATATGGGATCCCGGGCGTGCAAGGTGAGGACCTTTAACCACTTGCGCCACCGCGCCGGGCCCAACAAAAATTTTTAACAGATTTTTTTGGGGGGGATGCTATTTTCCAGCTTTCGTTTCCTTCCCATCACATAGAATCTTAGGATTTTAGGTTTAAAGGGAACTTGAAAATTATGTAGCATACCTTCTCCAAGGATGCCATGTTATCTACCATACGGGCCAAACTTGAA